ACTAATTCAACTAATCCTTTTATTGTTTTCGGATGGAAATAAATAGGAGATACGAAAAATAAAAATCTTGTCAGAAAAAATCGACAAAATAATTTTCTGTTTCTGGTTTAGGAGCCTTCCAAAGATTTACAAAACTTTTATAGGATGTTTATAAATAGAAAACCTTTTGGAGATAGAGGTGCAATACGTTTATGAAGACTTGTTTTTAAGTGACATCTTATAGGGCAACTCCATGGGAAAAATGGTCTTCTAGAGATTTTATGTGGGAAACCTGCCCAAAAAACGTTTAAGGAAAAAAATCCTTTAAAATATTTGTTAGGGGTGAATAAATGTCAGGAGAAGGAGCGGAACATTTTGTTGCTAAAAGTGCATTTTTATAAATGTAGATGATTGAGACTTGTTCTGGTCTGGCATGAAAAAATGTCCTGAAAGTTTAGTTTACCTTTCAGATGGCTTCTACGGCTGATTGGAGTTTTAGAGGACATTTAAACATTTTTAGAATAGAGATCTCCTAGGGAAGTAGTCTTTTCAGAGCTCTTCAAGAAACTGAAGACATCTCAGAAAACTTCTTCCAATAGATTTTCATATTGGGATCTCCTGGGAAAAAGTCTATTCGGAGGCCTTCAAGAAACTTAAGACATCTGCTCCTTGCAGAGGTCTTCTCCAGCTGGAATATGTTTTTGAATTCTCCTTAGAATATAACACCTATGAGAAATCTTCTATGGACATATGGAGTATTTTTCAGAGGTCTTTTTTCCCAAAAAAAAAAAAAAATTACTTTTGAAAAAAAAAAAACATTTTCAGAGGTCTTCTCCATACGGAAGATATTTTGGAGTTATTCTTAAGAACGAAATTTAAAAATGTTTACAAGAAGACTTTAACCAATAGATATTTATTGGAAAGCTCCTGGGAAAGAAGTCTTTTCAGAGGTTTTCAAGAAACTGAAGACATCTCAGAAGACTTCTTCCAATAGATTTTCTTATTGGGATCCACTAGGAGAAAAGTCTATTCGGTGGCCATCAAGAAACTAAAGACATCTCAGAGGATGTCCTCATTTTATAGGTCTTCTCCAGCTCGAAGATGTGTTGGAATTCTTCTTAGAATATAACACCAATGAGAAATCTTCTGTGGATATATGCTGCATTTTCAGAGGTCTTCTTTCGATAAAAAGGTATTTTTGAAAAAAAAAAATATATATTTTCAGAGGAAATGGAAGATATTTTGGAATTTCTATTAAGAAAGAAAACCATTTAGGGATCCTCGGAGGACAAAAAATAATAATAATAATAATAAACTGAATGGGCTTCAGAGAGAACAATTTTAAACAGTCTTCTTTGGAGAGAAGGCCTTTCTCAGAGACAGTACCTATCAGAGTTCTTCCATGGATTGATCTTTCTCAGGATACGTTTTTAGAAGCTGCTAAAAAATATGTCTTTTCTGGTATCTTTTTTGGGCAGAAGGATTTTCAAAGTTATATTGTAGATGGAAGACGAAGAAAAGTTTGAAGGCCTTCCTCAGCCAGTACATACCTCGAATAGATGGATATTCCGGTGTCTGGGCTTTCTCAGAGAGAATTTTTTTTTCACGCTACTAAAGAAGGTTCCTTCTCGAGGACCTTTTTTGGACAAAAGGATTTTCAAAGTTAGAGTGTATATTGAAGACGTTGCTTAGGACTTTTATGGTTTCTCTTACGAGAGAAAAATGTTTGAAACCTTGCTCATCTGTCTCGAATAGAAGGATATTTCGAGGTCTGAATTTTCTTAGTGAGCATTTTTTACGTTGTTAAAGAAGATGACTTCTCGAGGACCTTTTTTAGGGCAGAAATATTTTCAAAGTCTTAGTGTAGATGAAAGATGTTGCTAAGGACTGTTAGGGTTTCTCTTCCGAGAGAAAAACATATGCCATTAAAGAAGATAATCTCTGGGGGATCTTTTTTGGGCAGAAGGATTTTAAAAGTTTTAGTGGAAATGGAAGACGTTACTAAGTACGTTTGAACAACGAGAAAAGCGTTTAAAAGCCTTGCTCAGCCATTACCTGGCTCGGGTAGAAAGATATTCCTTCGTTTGATAGAAGTTATTCCAGACGATTTTCAAGAGAAAAGCTTCTAAGTCTTTTCTCTTGAAAATCGTCCATAGAAAGGATGCCTTTTATTTATTTTGCTAACAGAAAATACCTTTAAGAAAACGTTCTGGAAAGAGGAAGGGCTTTCAAATAGATTATTTATCTGAGAGACTTCTCCCTTGTCATCTTCGTATAGACTTTTTAGAAGACCTAGTGGCCTTCTACGGAGCGAAGGTATATCAGAGGCCTTATTCAGTTATACGACTTTTCAGAAGAACTTCCACGGGTCTTTCTAAAAGAAAGGCCTTCCATCAATAGAAGGTCTAATTCAGATAGAGTATTATTAAAATGCCTTCCGCAATGAGAATACATTCTTCGGAGAGAAGTTCTTTAAGAGATTTTTTTTTTCTGAGATTCTCGCAGCCCTTCTTCGGACAGAAGCTTTTTTAGAAGACCTTTTTCATGGAGAAGTTTTTCGGAGGCCTTCTTCGGACGCATGACCAGCATGAGAGAAAGGACATATTAGAGGCCTCCAATGATAGCAGGCTTTTCGGGACGCTAATTCAGATAAAATAACTTTTGGAGACCCACTTCATAGAGACGACCTCCTTCCACCTAAAGTAGCCGCTAAGTCCTACCGATAGCAACAGTGTTGCCAACTTTAATTTATACTTTTTATTTATAAGTTTTCACCAACAAGTAAAATGGTGTCAGTCGGTTTTTCCGACAGATGTATACCCCCCGCCTTGAGTTATGATTTTTCAAACTGTTGACCCTTTATGGGGTAGGTTCCGTAACAGTTGGCCAATATTGAACAATTCGTATCACACTGATATAAACATTACAACGTGCCAGATTTGGACTATATCGACTACTTATATAAGGGATGTGTAATTTTTGGAAAATCTGGAAATATGCGGTAACAGATATAGCGGACCGAAGTACACCATTTTCATACTTCAGCTAATACAGACGGACTTGTTTCGCAAGATATGACAGATATAATATTTCGAAATTGTGACCCTTTATGGGTGAGGTACCAGAAGGGGTTGGCTGATATATACCATTTTCACAACAGATATGAAATTTGTAAGAGAGTCGGATGCGGATAGCGTTTTGTTTTTGAAAATCTTGAAACCAGAAGAAATGGCCCGATCGCTACCATTTTTATAACAGATCTTGTGTTGATGGAAATATTGTTATGTACCAAGTCTGAATTGAATCGGTTTTTTAATTTCGCGTTTTAGGAACTTCATGGTTACTTAAAATTTTGACCCTTTGTGTGGGAGGTACCAGAAGGAGTGAACCGATATATTTACACCAGACCTTGGGTTAATAAAAATATTGTTACCTGTGTTATTTGAAAAGAATCGTAAGCTTATTTTGGATTTTATGATCGTTTTGGTTATTCAAAACATTGAGCCATTGTGGGGTAGGCACTAACAGAAATGGCCCGATCCCTACCATCTTTATAACAGATATTGTGTTGATGGAAATCGGATACTAATTTCGTCTTTCATGAGCTTCATGAATATTCAAAATTTTGACCCTTTGTGGGGTAGATACCAGGAGGAGTGGATCGATGTATCACATCTTCACACCAGACTATGGGTTAATGATGTTATTAAATATGGGTTGATGATGGGTTAAATATTGTGATGTGTGTAATTTGAAGACAATCGGACATGTACATCCCATTTTATAAGAGTTATAATTATTCAAAATTTCGACCCTTTTTGGGGGAGGTACTTGATGGAGTGCACTGATACTGTCCATTTTCGCAAAGGATCTAATGCAAATATTAAGATTTGCAAAGTTGGAGCAAAGTCGGATTATCCTTTCACTTTCTGTGCAGTAAATTATTTTCTTTGAAATTGTTAACATTTTTTGGGGAAGGTACCAGAAGTTGTGGACCGATATTGTCCATCTTCAAACTCGATCTAAGTTTGATAATAATATTACGATGTACCGAATTCGCATCAAATCGGATACTCCCTATCGAGAGTTATCGTGGGCAAAAGGCAGCCAGACAGGCCGACAGACGAACGGATGAGCACCCCTAGATCGATTCCAAATGTCCTGAAACGGATTTGGTCTAAAGAGACCTAAGCTCTAAAACCCACCCTTATTTCGATGAGGCACGTTTTGGCCGTATCAAATAATATATACCCTCTCTAGCCACATGGCTGAGGGTATAAAAATATCTACCTCTTAAATCGTTTGGAATACCACTGTAGAACTGATAGAAATCCTATCAAAGGCATTACACAGAAATTATAAGCTTTCTTACCGGACCCATTGTGAATTTTCCAATCATAAACTTCAAGCAACTATAAGTAACAACAATAACAACAACAAAAAGGAACTGCATTGGAAATTGCCAATCATACCCACAAACGAATGTTTAAATTTAGTTTGGTTTTGTTTGGTTTGGGCAAATCTAACGGTAAAAATAACAAACACAAAGGAATCAACGAACAGCTAAAATAACAGAAAACGCAATGCTACGCATACACACACACACACGCGCGAATTGGCAACTCGACGCACACAAATGGAATGTTCAAACACACGAATGAACGCACACACACACACAGCCACTCGCAAATAACAGCTAGGATTCACAAATACAAACGATTTTAATTAAGCATTCAAATGGATTTGTTGGCTGGCCATGATGGCTGTTGTTGTTGTTGTTGTCGCTGGGTGTGGGGAGGCGTGGCGTGGGCGTGGGAAATAGTTTCTTGTTTGGCTTGGTTATCAAGATGAGGGTATTTGGGTTATAATAACAGCAATGGTTAGATCGCAGTTATGGTTGGCGCTATTGTTGCGTTGCGATATCAAACATGGCGGGAACACACACACGCACGCACACACACAGAAGGCTGACAAAAACAGTTGCTATTTTTCTATTTTTTTTTTCGTTTAATTGAACTTACCACACGATATCCTGGCTAGAAATTCACATGGAATATTTTATTTTAGTATGTGTGTTTACTATACTGTTTTTATTGTTATTATAATATAAAATAAATACGCTCTATAAGACAATACAGTGGAACGTGGTCATAACAAACAGTGGATATTATGAAGATAGTTTCAAAAAGGATATGATCCTCAAAAAAAAAAAAAAATAAATAAATAAATAAATAAAAATAAGAAAATAAAAGAAAAATAAAAAATAAATAAAAAAATATATAAATAAATTATTATTAGTTTTTATAAAAATGTCATGTGTCATAAAATATTTTAAAAAAAAATTCAGCTCGTTATAACCACGTTGTACTGTCAATAACAAATAATTGCTATATGCCGTTGTTGTTTTTAATAGTTTTCCTCCATTCTCATTGGCATGTCCGCATCCGTTGTCCATAAACGGACACATTTATTTTCATGTTTTAAACTATTAAATTAATTGTTTTTATGACAAAACAAAAAAAAAAAACGCAAAAACGATAGAGTTTTGTTTTCCATTTCAAAAGAGCAGTTTATTTTTATCGGTGGTTTGAAAAAATTGAGTGTGTTCTATGAATTCTGTGTAAAATATGAAGGATAGCTATAATGTGAGGGTATGGGGATGATTCAATTTAATATTCTTTGGGAGTAGTGTTCAATTGAGATTAAAAAAACTGCAACAAAATCAAACGCCATAATTTTTCCATTATTTTTTTTTTTCAAATTTTATTGAATTAAAGCAAATTAATTTAAAAGTACGTTTATATATATGAGGGTTAACCCACTGGATTTGGATTTAAATTGTCATATCCATTACTTTTACTTCAAATAAATCCTCTCAAAGTAGGTTAACCCTACAAAAAGCTCTAACGTAAACATGGCATAAGATTTGTTCGAATTGGTCAACTTTGATACGAATTATGACAATGAAACCGTCACACGCTGCCCGAATGTTGCTCTGCGCTATTTCGGCCCAATCGCGGCGAAGCGCTTGCTTGAGGTGATCGACACTTTGGTATTTTTTTGTGCCAACCTTGCATTCCAAAATACCTGAGACATAATAATCCAACGGATTGGTATCCGGAGATTTTGCTGGCCAATGGTGCGCTGGAAATGAAGCGAGCAACCCTATTTTGTAACCATTTTTGGGTGGCGCGTGCTGAGGGCGATGGTGTTGAGTCCATGTAGGAATGTCCAAGGTCTGCGGACGAAATGTTTGCGGGCCCAAAGATTTAATACACCCTCCAGAATGTTTACGCGATAATGTTCGGCATTTATTCATTCATTACACGGTCGCGGATCACCATGGTCGGCGCTTGAGTTCTGATGGCCAACCAAAGGTGTCCGTCTGTCTGTCTGTTGAAATCACGATACAGCCCACATTATTTGACGTAGATGGACACAATTTTGCAGAACAATTTGTATTGTGTCTAGGATGTTTGGTACTGAAAATGAGATATATCCGTCCACGTTTTGGTATAGTCGCCATATAACGGTACCTCGCGATATTCGGTATTTTGATTGTTCTTCTCACCTTTTTTCACGGATTTGTCTGAAAATTGCTATTTGGTGGTCACAATGGATTCCGGCTGCGGTGGTAAGACATTGTATGCATAGGTCCACGTTTTGGTATAGCTCCTATATAACGTTTTTTTGATAATTTTTGCCACATTTTTTCACGGATTTGTCTGAAAATTGGTATTTGTGGGTCATAATGGGTTCTAATGTTTCCTTTACCCTAAGGTGGAGTGCATTAAAAGTTGGGCCCAGCCGAACTTAATGTTTTTTACTCGTTTAGTGCCAACCTTGCTTTCCAAAATACTCCAGACACAATAGTCCAACGGATTGGTATCCGAAGATTTTGGTGGCCAATGGTGCGCTGGAAATAAAGCGAGGAACCTCATTTTGTAAACAATCTTGGATGGCGCGTGCTGAGTCCTGTTGAAATGTCCAAGGTCTGTGGCCAAAATGTTTGTGTGCGCAAGGCTTTAATACATCCTGCAGAATATTGTCGCGATAATATTAGGCATTTATTCTGATGCCACGGTCGATTATTACGAGCAGGGAGCGACCATCGGTTGTTATGGCGGCCCACACCATCATGATGGCCGGCGCTTGAGTTTTGGTGGCCAACCGAAGGTGCACGTTTTCAGCTGACCTCTTTGGCAAGTTTCTTTACAAAATGCTGGACAACGAATGTTTTCTCATCGGAGAAAACTTAAATCGGCAGTTTACCACTTCGGACCACGCCAAGCAACCCTTTAGTTCTTTTGAGTCTATTTTCTTTCTGTTGCGGTGTAGGGTCTTGCACTTTTTGGAATTTCCATGGCTTTAACCCGAGCTCAGTTTTCAATATTTGCCGAATGGGATATTGCGATATGTTCAGCCCACGAGCCAATTTTCGGCCACTGCGGCGCGGATTTCGATCAAATAGCTTCTTTATATTTCGAACCATTTCTGTTGATGTTGCTGTTTTCTTCCGTCCACTTCCTTGACGTCGGGCTACGCTACCAGTGACACGGTAACGAGCGAAGTTACGAAACACAAAAGATTTATTCACATTTAAATGCTGGAGTGCTCTAACGATAGCCACTTGTGGTTTTCCAGCCAAAATGTAAAGAAATTACAATATCACGCTTGAATTCCATCACGAATCTCTTTTTTCTGTAAAACTCTTACCAAAATGTTTGAACGCTTGTAAACAATATAATGAGTTGTCACTGGAATAATTTTAACATCTGTCGGACGAGTGCTTTGGAAATGATAGCAGCCTGAATTTGGTTGCAGTTTTTTCATCTCCCCTGTATATTTCAGTTCTAAGGTTACAAAGCTTTAAATGAATCGCTGAATTGTTTCGGAAATCATAAGATATATAAATATTGACAACTGTGACCCTTTGTGGGGGGAGATATCAAAAGGGGTGGGCCGATATCTATGATCTTTACACCAGATTTTGTGTTTATAGAAATATTGGGATGTGAGAAATTTGAAGGGAATCGTATGCTTACAACGCATTTATAAGCGTTTTGGTTATTTAAAATTTTGACCCTTTGTGATGGCGGTACCAGAAGGAGTGAATCGACATATTCTATCTTTATGACAGGTTAGTTAGCAGGAATAATGGGATGTGTTAAGTTTGCTCATTTCGCGTTTTATGCGCTTCATATTTATTCAAAATTTTGACCCCTTTGTGGTGGAGGTACAAGAGAGAGTGGTCTGATATATTTCATTCACACCAGATCTTATCTTAGTAGAAATATTTGGATGTGTGAAATTTGAATGGAATCGGATTTTAATTTCGCGTTTTATGAGCTTCTTGGTTATTCAAAATTTTGACCCCTTTGTGGGGGAGGTACCAGAAGGAGTGGACCGATATATCCCATCTTCACACCAGACAATGGGTTATTAAAAATATTATGATGTGTGAAATTTGAACACAACATTTTATAAGAGTGGTAATTATTTCAAATTTTGACCCTCTGTGTGGGAGGTACTTGATGGAGTGGACCGATATTATCAAGTTTCGGATCTAACATATCAATGATACAAATTAGAGGATCATTTTGTGTTCTATACGGTAAATTTTTTTCTGCGAAAATTTTAACATGTTGTGTGGGGGGGGGGGGGGGGTACCAGAAGGAATGAACTGATATTGTCCATCTCCGAACCGGATCCAAGTTTGACAATAATATTACGATGTACCAAGTTTGGATCAAATCGTATACTTCCTTCGAGAGTTATCGTGTGCACCAGCCAGACAGGCAGACGGACGTACGAGTGTACGATTGAGATATGAAATGGTTTTGCAATGAAGGACTTAAATAATACAAAAGGTACAAAATTTTACTAAATTTTGCATTTGAGTGCCAAAAAGGTCCAACACTTATTGTGGGAACGTATCTAAACTTTTAAAAATTGACTTTTCGCTTAAGAAGTTGTTGGAACTTGCTTGTCGACAACTTATTATGCTTTTTTATGAATTTTTAGTATTTGTTATTTTTACATTTTTATATCCTACACCACATAGTGCTAAGGGTATTATGTCTTTGTGCATTTGTTTGTAACATGGAGAGGTAAACGAGATAGACCCATAGTTCCTTTTGGTGATCAGCATAGAATCACATTTTGAGTCGATTTATGCATGTCCGTTCGTCTGTCCGTCTGTCCATGTATCGCATTTACTATTCGATTGAGAAGAAAATTTTCTAAATATCATTTGTTTGGCTTAAGGACGAACCCTATTGAAATTAGTGAAAATCGGTCCAAATTTAGATGTAGCTCTCATATATATCTTCATCCCATTTTATGATTTTGGGCACCAAATGGCTAATCTCAGTCCAAATGTTGTGTATTTTGCTACATTCGACCGGATTCAGCCTACAAGCATGTGTTTCAAATTTGCTGAAAATCGGTTCAGATATAGCTATAGCTTCCATATATATGTTTCATCCGATTTTGGTGTTTAAGTTTCTTACATTCGTAATATGCACTCCACAATACTGATATTTAGCACCAGATGTCAGATACAGCCTAGGAATTCATAGATAATATTTTATCATGTTCGGTTCAGATTTGGATATAGCTCCCCTATATATCTTGGCCCGATTTTAGGTTTCTTGTGCTCCAAATGGCTAATATCAGTTCAAATGGTGTGAATTTTGGTACTTCCGACTGAATTTAGTATAGAAAGAAGTACGTTAAATTTGGTGGAAATCGGTTCAGATACAGCTATAGCTCCCATATATACTTTGCATCCGATTTGGTGTTTAAGTCCCTTACATTAGTAATACCCATCCCATAAAAATTTTATTTGGTACCAGATATTAGATTCAGCCCAGCAATACATGATTCAAATTTTATCAAGATCGGTTCAGATTTGAATATAGCTCCCTTATATATCTTCATCCGATTTTAGGTTTCGTGTGCCCCAAATGGCTAATATCAGTCCAAATTGTGTGAATTTTGGGATTTCCGACCGAATTGAGTATATAGAAAGAAGTACTTTAAATTTGGTGAAAATCGCTTCAGGTATAGCTATAGTTCCCATATATATGTTGCATCCGAATTCGGTGTTCAAGTCCCACAAAAAATGATATTAAGTACCAGATATTAGATTCAACACAGCAATACATGATTCAAATGTTATCAAGATCGGTTCAGATTTGGATATAGCTTCCTTATATATCTTCGTCCGATTTTAGGTTTCGTGTGCCCCAAATGGCTAATATCAGTCCAAATGGTGTGAATTTTGGCACTTCCGACCGAATTTAGTATAGAAAGAAGTACTTTAAATTTGGTGAAAATCGCTTCAGGTATAGCTATAGCTCCCATGTATATATATATATTTCATCCGATTTTGGTGTTTAAGTCCCTTACATTCGTAATACCCATCCTATAAAAATTTTATTTGGTACCAGATATTATATTCAGCCTAGCAATACATGATTCACATTTTATCAAGATCGGTTCAGATTTGGATATAGCTCCGCTATATATCTTCGTCCGATTTTAGGTTTCGTGTGCCCCAAATGGCTAATATCAGTCCAAATTGTGTGAATTTTGTAACTTCCGACCGAATTTAGTATAGAAAGGAGTACTTTAAATTTGGTGAAAATCGGTTCAGATATAGCTATGGCTTGATAAAATTTGAATCATGTATTGCTAGGCTGAATATAATATCCGATTTTAGGTTTATTGTGCATAAAAAGGCTAACATTAGTCCAAATGGATTTTAGCACTTCAGTCGAACTCAGCATAGAAGCAAGAATTTCATTTTCCCATATATATGTTTTATCCGATTTAGCCTTTAAATCTCCAACTTTCGGAATGTGCACTCTACCACAATGATATTTTGTACCAGATACCAGTAGAGCTCAGAAATGCCCAATATAAACCTTTCTTTTACGAGAGCTCTACTAAATATGCTTAGTGGTGTAGGGTATCATATAGTCGGCCCCGCCCGACTTTTGAGATTTCCTTACTGGTTTTTATATTTATTTATTTATTTATTTTTTTGTATTTCTCTATCTTACACCTCAGACCAAAAAAAGCAACATTCCAAACAAGGAATTTCCTTGATTTTCATGATGAACTTGCATATTTTTGTTTTTTATTTACAGAATTCCCTTCTTCTTTCATTGTGTCCTTTGTCTTATTAATTATCTTAAATTATTTCTCTTCCTTCAACACATCATCTTCTCAAGACCAAACAAAAAAAACCTCAAATTGCCTACCTTGCCAAAATGATGACGTCCAAAGGTGTGATAGAGCAGCTCATATTCATGTACGGCCCAAAAGAGATCCCAATCGAATATGGTAATGTGATAGGCCAGCTCTTTGGTGCTGAGCATTTCCAGGTCCATGTCGATGCCTTCGGTGGGTCCCTCCTGTTCCGGCAAAGGAGTCTATACAAAAATGAAAAAAGAAAGAAAACAAACAGCAACACAACATTAAATTTCAATCAAAAAGCCATTTGCATGCCATTGTGACACCAGAGAGAACAGCAATTGCTATCCTGCAGCTATACCAGTGGCAGGCACACAACAGTCAACCAACCAAGTAAGGAAACCTACCAAGCCATCTATGTGATCCTTAACGGAGACAAAGAGCCGTCCATTTAAGCTTAAGCCAGTGGGTATACTGACATCGTTATCCTTGAATACGGAACGTTCGCCATTCGATTTCACTTCGACCAGGCATAAATCCTCGGGGCCACGATTCAATTGCAGTTTGTCCGCGGCACAGGCTTTAATTATCTCCGCAGTGGTGTGCAAGGGGAAGCGCAGAGTGCAGTAGGTGTGGTCGGCACAGTATACCCGAAAAATGACTGCATTTTATGGAAGGCAGGAACACACACACAAACACAGCAGCAGGAGGTTGACAGGAGCAAATGATAATGGCAATGACAATAAAAACAAACAAAGTAGTCGGACATTGAATTAATAATGAAATTGAGGCTGAGCTTTTGCAGAGATTTCCAGCAAAAATATTTATAAGATTTTCGAAAAATGCCACGATACTCACTATCATCATCTGGCCTTATCACCGTCTTCGATGGTGTAATGTTACCACTGAACAAACATATCGGCTGACCATTTGGCGGCAGTTTCCATTTCTGTCCGGCATTTTGATTCCGATCGTCCTGATAGCGTGCCATTTGCGTCAGAATGTTGTGTATAATACTGGTCTCCTCCTGCAGTTCGGGATCCGCTTCCACTTCAGCGGCTAAATCTTCAATAAAATCACAGACACTGGGCTCATCGAAGGCGGCATGTCGCACCGCCATCACCCATTTTTGCATGAATTGAATGACGCGTTTCTTGAAATTAATAATATAGTCCCGTTCCTCGGGTGTTTGCGATCCATCATGCGAATCACAATGAAAAGTGCAGAGGGAGTTAAGGAGAGCATTGGTAGGACATATATATATATAATGATGGCAATACAACTAAAATACGCTTACACAAGAGAGTGAGAGACTAAATCAAGAGATATTTTATGGAGAGAAGAGATAATAAATGTCAGATTGTTGGTCATTTAGAGATCTCTTAGGGAAAAGAGATCTTCTACATTTCTAAAACATATGTAAGACAATCAAAAGGGTTTTAATTTTCCATGAATAAAGAAGACAGTCTTGAAATAGATTTTCTACGGTCCTGGGTACTTTTTATACCCTCAGCCATATGGCTACAGAGGGTATATATCATTTGATACGGTCAAAACGTGCCTAATCGAAATAACGGTTTTAGACCCTAGGTTTCTTTGGACCAAATCCGTTTCAGAAAATTTGGAGTCGAACTAGCGATGTCCGTCCGTCCGTCCGTCTGCCTGGCTGGTGCGCACGATAACTCTCGAAGGCAGTATCCGATTTGGTCCAAAGTTGGTACGTTGTAATATCTTTGTCAAACTTAGATCGAGTTCGGAGATGGGCAATATCGGTCCGCTTCTTCTGGTACCTCCCCCTCAAAAGGTTGGAATTTGCAAAAAAATATTCTTTGCACAGAAAGAGAAACGATAATCCGATTTTGCTCCAACTTTGCAAATCGTAATATTTGCGTCAGTGCTAGGTCAGGTGTGAAAATGAACAATATCGGTCCACTCCATCAAGTACCTCCCCCACAAATGGTCAAAATTTTGAATAATTACAACTCTCATAAAATATGATGTACGAGTCCGATTGTCTTCAAATTTCACACATCCCAACATTTATATTAACCCAAGGTCTGGTGTTATGTTGAGCAATATTGGTCCACTCCTTCTGTTACCTCCCCCACAAAAGGCCGAAATTTGCAAAAAATATATTTTTTGCACAGAAAGAGAAAGGATAATCCGAATTTGATCCAACTTTGCAAATCCTAATATTTGCATCAGTTCTACGTTAGGTGTAAAAATGGACAATATCGGTTCACTCCTTCAAGTACCTCCCCCACAAATGGTCAAAATTTTGAAGAGTTACAACTCTCAAAAAAATTTGAAGTAAGAGTCCGATTGTCTTCAAATGTCGGACATTCCAATATTTATACTAACCCAATCTCTGGTGTTAAGATGGAATATATCGGTCCACTCCTTCTGGTATCTCCCCCACAAATGGTCGAAATTTTCAACAAAAGAAAAATATATTTTTTGCACAGAAGGAGAAACGATGATCCGATTTTGCTCCAACTTTGCATATCCTAAAATTTGCATCAGTGCTAGGTCTGGTGCGAAAATGGACAACATTCGTTCACTCCTTCAAGTACCTCCCCCACAAATGGTCAAAATTTTGAATAATTACAACTCTCATAAAATGTGATTTAAGAGTCCGATTGTCTTTAAATTTCACACATCCAAATCATTTTATTAGCCCAAGGTCTGGTGCAAAGATGGAGTATATCGGTCCACTTCTTCTGGTACCCCCCCCCACAACTGGTCGAAATTTTAAAAATAAATATTTTCTGCACAGAAAAGGAAGCAATAATCTAATTTTGAAAAACATAACGCTCAAAGCAACCGAAGTAAGGATCCAACTCTCTTCAAATTTCACACATACAAGCATTTTTGCTAACACCAGATCTGTTGTGAAGATGCTATATATCTGCGAACACCTTTGTGTCATAGGTTGTAGTAACGGTTATAAGATATAAGAAATTTGAAACAGTTCCGGTGAAGATTGTTGCAAAAATCATGAAAATACCGAATATTTGCGGGTATCGTTATATGGGCTCAGAAAGAATCTCTTGTGTGGATTTTAAGACAATTCCATTGAAACATTTGGCTGAAATCATCAAAATACCGAATATTGGGGGGTACCCTTATATGGGAACGTATAAATACAATTCTCTTTTAGGGAAAAAAAGTATTCACAAGGAACTCCTTGTGTTGATTTCAGACGATTCCGTTGAAAAATGTGGTTAAAATCATAAAAATACCGAATATCGGGAGGAACCGCTAGAGGGATATATATTTAATTTTTTTACGTTTTTATACCCTCCACCATACTATGGAGGGTATATTAATTTTGTCATTACATTTGTAACTCCTTGAAATACTTATGTCAGGCCCAACAGAGTGTATATATTCTTGATCAGCGTAAAATTCTAAGATGATTTAGCCATGTCCGTCTGTCTGTCTGTTGTAATCACGCTATCTTTCGAACAAATTGAGATAGAAGACTAAAATTTTGCATACGTGTATATTTTGCCAGTAGGTACCCAATATTCGGTATTTTGATGTTGATATTTTTAGCGACATTATTTACCGGAATTGTTTCGAATTTGCTATTTGAAGTTCGTAATGGATACTGCAGCCTAAGACAGAAAACTGTCTGTGCAGGTCCACGCCTTGGTATATCCGCCATATAACTGTACCTCGCGATAATCGGTATTTTGATGACTGTAGCTACATTATTCACCGATTTTTTCTAAGTTTCGCAATTGAATATTGTACTGGCTTATGAAAAAAAAAATACCTATGCAGGTCCATGTCGTCGTATTGACCCTAATATAACAGCTACATTCGGTATTTCTTAGATTTTAACGGATTTTATTGTTTTTGAGAATTGCCAAATTCGTTCTAAATGGTGGAGGGTAGTCAAAATTCGGCCCGGCCAAACTTACAGCTTTTTTACATGTTTTTGTTTTAATTTTATTGAATGAAAGCAAAAAATATCGGAAATAGCTTTAATTTTAAGAATATGGTTAGATTTGTTCAAATTGGTCAGCTTTGACACGAATTATGGCCTTCAAACGACCAATGAAACCATCACACGCTGCCCGAAAGTTGCTCTGCGGTATTTTGGCCCATTCCTGGCGAAGCGCTTGCTTGAGGTGATCGGCACTTTGGTATTTTTTAGTGTCAAACTTTTTTTCAAAAGTACTCCAGACACAATAGTCCAACGAATTCATTTTCGGAGATTTTGGTGGAACCTCATTTTGTAACCATTCTTGGGTGGCGCGTGCTGATTGCGATGGTGCTGAGTCCTGTTGGAATGTCCAAGGTCTGCGGTCAAAATGTTTGCGTGTCCAAGGCTTTAATACACCCTCCAGAATATTTAGCGCGATAATATTCGGAATTTATTCTGATGCCATGGTCGAATAATACGAGCGGAGAGAGACCTTCGGTTGTTATGGCGGCCCACATCATCACCATGGCCGGCACTTGAGTTCTGGTGACCAACCGAAGGTGCACATTTTCAGCTGACCTCTTTGGCAAGTAAATATCATCATTTTGTTGTTGTTGTTGTTTGCAAACTGCTGAACAAGGAATGTATTTTTCATCGGAGAAAACCAAATTCGGCAGTTCACCACTTTCGGCCAAGCGAAGCAACTCTTTAGCTCTTTTGAGTCTATTTTCTTTCTGTTGCGGTGTAAGTTCTTGCACTTTTTGGAATTTCAATAGCCTTAACCCGAGCTCTTTTTTTCGCTATTTCCCGATATGTTCAGCTCACGAACCATTTTTCGGCCACTGCGACGCGGGTTTCGATCAAGTCGCTTCTTTACTTTCGGGAACCATTTCTGCTGATGTTGCTGTTTTCTTCCGGCCACTTCCTTCACTACGCTACTAGTATCACGTTAATGAGCAATGGTACGAGACATAAAAGATTTATTCACTTTTTAATGCTGGAGTGCTCTAACGATAGCCACATGTGGTTTTCCATCTGTAAAATTCTCACCAAAATGCTTTTGTACGCTAATGAGAGGTAACTCGAACAATTTCAACAGCTATCGGACGAGAGACTTAAAAATGCCAATTGTAGTCTGAAATTGGTAGCAGTTTTTTCATCTCAACCCGTAGAGCTATGTAGACAACTCTTCTAGAGGATAAAGTACTCACAAGAAACTCCTTGTGTAGGATTTCCATTGAAAAATGTGGATAAAATCATCAAAATACCGGAGTACCGTTATGTGGGGGCTATAATATATTGTGTCGAACTAGACCTGCCTGCAGACAAAAGACCCGAAAGTTCGGATTGAGCCGACCCGAGTTTTATTCGGTTCTACAAAACCGATGGTTATCGTTTGAAAACTTATGGATATACACATCCAAAAAGTGGTCATATGATGGATATAATTCGTGCCAAAGGTGACTACTTCGTACAAATCTAAACTTATTCTAAAATTTTGATGCTATTTCCGACATTTTTTGCTTTGATTCATTAAATTGAAAAAAAAAAAAAAAAAAAACATAAAAATTAAGGCGTTTGGCTTTATGGGAGTTCTTTTAAAATTATCTTTTGGATCGAAGAAGACTTCCTTAAGGTCTTCAAAACAGACCTTTAATATGTTTTGCATTGTAGTATCTCCACCGATGCAAAAGAGGCTTTCTATTAGTCTCGTATTTTGATAGACCTAATTAAGGCATCTTTGGCAGAATACTATCTAAAGGACTGCGAAAATGGCTTTCTATGGATGTTTTATTTTAGAGAACTTTTTAGGTTTTCTCTAATGAAGAAATCCTTATTAAGGACTATTATCAGCAGAGATTTCATAGTCCTTCTATATATAAATCTTCTATTCAAGGTATTTTTCCTCAGGGTGTAGACCATTATCCCATTCAGCTACCTCTTTTTAGTTTTGAAAACAAAACGTTTGCTACCTCAAGAATTGTCCTGCGAATCGTTGCACGTCTTTTCAGCATTATTTTGACCATTCCTTAGCTTAATTCTTGCCATTTCCCTGCCTGATTATTTAATAAATTGTGGCAGCAGGGCAAATGGAACACCCCATCCACACGTCTGTTAGTCGTGGCCAAAGTGACACTTAAGTGTTGTTGTTCTTGTTTCTTTTTCGTTGTCACATCGTATTGTAATTGCGTGGCCAAAATGTAACTTGAAGCACTTCAACAATCTTGCCAGCATTCGTGACCCAACCAACGTGACTGTCCCCCCTCAAACATGTTGACTATCGACTATGATTCCATCTATGGGTGTGTATGTGCTTGTGTCGAAGTGTTTGAAACAATTATGTTGTTGATGATACTTCCAACACTTGGGGGACATATCTGTTCTGTATGGATGTCACTTAAAATGGTGGCAAACGACAAAATTTGACCAGGAGGTCCTAACAATGGCCACTGAAGAGAGGAAAACAAATGTTTTTGCATTTATAGTAGACCCCTCTTCGGGGGTGTGGGGTGGACCCCCGAAGAAGTATTGTTTGCTTTTCCAGCATACAGATTATGGTTTAAGCCCCTGGGGCGGTATAATATCATAAAATGTTTGTCGCACATCTGTTGCCATTGTGCATGTGTGTGTGTGTGAGAGAGAAGTCTTGTTGACGCATTTTGAATATTTAATGTCTACTCTGGTCAGTTTTCAAAGGTGGTGAGCATGGAAGATAATAATTTTAATCTTTAAGAGGTTATTTATTATTATCGTATATAGATTATGGCAAACAATGGTGAGTTATTCAAGTAAAATTACAGATTAAAAGCATTTCGAAGAACATCCGTAAGTATTACGAAGGAAAGAATACCTTAAGAAAGATTCATAAAAATATACAAGTTCCACGAAATTTCTTCATTACATAAAAATCTAGGTTGTTAAAGACCTATGGAAGTTATTTTATTCATAGAAGGTCTTCTTGCCATAAAAAACTTCTACCCATAAAAGGTATGTGGAAGGACTTCATAGGAAGGCCTTTGGATAGTTTTCTAGACGTAGAACGCTTGTGGAAGGCATTCTATCCATAGAAGGACTATGGATTATTTTCTAGTCATGGAAAAATTCTGAAAGGTATTCTATCCACAGAAACTTTATCGAAGATAATTTACCCTAGAACGTGTGTGAAAGTTCTTCTAGACATAGAAGGGTTGTGGAAGGTATTCAATACTTAAGAGGCTTGTAAAAGATCTACCAAAAGCCTGTGGATTGTATCCTAGCAAAAGATGTCTTGTGGAAGGCATTTAATCCATAGAAGAAGTGTGGATGATTTTGTAGCATTAAAAGTCTGTGTCTTTATTCCATAGAGTCCCTGTGAAAGGCAAGCGGAAGGTCCTCTATCGATAAAAGACGTGTGGAAGATCTTCTATCATTAGAAGACTTGTGGAAAGTATTCTATCCATAGAAGATCTTTGAAAGATCTTCTAGCGTGTGGGAAGTATTCTACTCTTAGAAGGCCTGTTAAAGATCTACCCAAAGGATAGTCTCCTAGCAAAAGTTGGCTTGTGGAAACCATTCTATCCATAGAAGGCCTGTGGAAGATCTTGCAGCATTGAAAGCCTGAACAAGGTCTTTTATCCATAGAGGGGCTGTAGAAGGTCCTCTATCCATAGATAGAAGAAGATAATAGAAGACTTGTGTGAAGGTATTCTTGTGAAAGATCTTATAACCATTGAAGGCCTGTGGATTACCTTTTATGCATATATGGCTTGTGGAAAGTCTTCTAGCTGTAGAAGGCTTGTGGATGGTATTCTGTTCTTAGAAGGCTTGTGAAAGATCTACCTAAAGAAGATCTGTAGATGGTCTTCTAGCGATAGAAGGCTTGTGGAAGCCATTGTAATCATAGAATTCATGTGGAAGATCTTGTACCAGCCTGAGTAAGGAATTTTATCTACAGAGGGCCTGTGGAAGGTCCTCTATACATAGAAGAAAATCTTCTATCAATAGAAGACTTGTGGAAGGTATTCTGTCCTTAGAAGTCCTATGAAAGATATTGAAGGTCTGGAGAGGCCCTTGTAGGCATATGTGGTTTCTGAAAAGTCTTCTAGCTATAGTATTATATAGCTTGTGGAAGGTATTCTATTCTTAGCAGGCTTGTGGGAGATCTACCCAAAAAAGTCCTGTGAATAGTATCCTAGTGAGAGAAAGCTTGTTTAAACCATTCAATCCATAGAAGACGTGTAGAAAATCTTCTATCAATTGGAGACTTGTAGAAGGGATTCCATGCTTAGAAGGTCTGTGAAAGATCTTATAGCAATTGGAAGCCTGCGGATGGTATTCTAGGCAGATATGGCCTCCTAGTGATAGAAGGCTTGTGAAAGCTATTCTATCCACAAAATGCCTGTGGAAGATTTTGAAGCATTGAAAGTCAGTGGAAGGCCTTTTATCCATAGAGGGCTTGTGAAAGGTCCACTGTCCATACAAGACGTGTGGAAGACCTCCTATTAATAGAAGACTTGTGAAAGTTATTCTATCCTTAGAAAGCTTTCGAAAGATCTAATAGCCATTGAAGTCCTGTGGAAGGTCTTCTAGCTATGGAAGGCTTGTGATAAGCATTCTATTCTTAGAAGGATTGTGGAATATCTACCCAAAGGAAGTCTGTGGATTGTATCCTAACGATAGAAGGCTTTTGGAAGAAATTCTCTCCATAGAAGATATGTGGAAGATGTTGTAGCATTGGAAGCCTGTGTAAGGTCTGTTATCTATAGAGAGCCTGTGGAAGGTCCTCTATCCATAGAAGAAGAACTTTTATCAATGGGAGACTTGTGGAAAATATTCTATACTTAGAAAGCCTGTGAAAGATCTTCTAGCCATCTAAGGCCTGTGGATGGTATCCTAGGCCGATATAGCTTGTGGAGGCTATTCTAGCTATAGAAGGATTTTGAAATATATTTTATCTGTAGAAGGCTTCTCCGCTGGCCTAAAGTGTCTGTTGAAGGTCTTCTATCCCTGGAAGGCCTGCAGAAAGTCTTTGATCTCTATAAAACTCATGGAAGATATTCAATCCCCCAATAATATCCCTAGAAGTCCTGTGAAAGCGTTTTGTTCATAGACAACTCCTGAAAGGTTTTCTATACATAAAAGGCTTGTGGAAGATCTTATATTCATACAAGACCTGTGGAAGATGTGATATCCTCAGAAGGCCTGTGAATGGTATTCTGTACGAACAATAATTGCGAAAGGTCTTCTAGTTATAGAAGGCTTGTGGAAGATCTTATATTCATACAAGACCTGTGGAAGATGTTATATCCTCAGAAGGCCTGTGAATGGTATTCTGTCCGTACAGAAATTGCGAAAGGTCTTCTAGCTATAGAAGGCTTGTGGAAGATATTCTATACATAAAATTAGAGAAGGGCTGTGTAAGGTTTTCTATTTATAGAAGTCCTGACAACCGGAGAAGTCCCATGGAAGTTTTTCTATCTATACAAAGCTTGTCGGATTTCTCCCATTTATTTTTAGGTGTGTGGAGATTCTTTTCTTCATTCATCCACATCCACAGAAGACCCACATGAGGTCCAGTCTGGCTAACCAATTCCGAAATTCAAATATAACCCATATACGTGTTTCTCTCTCTCTCTCTCTCTCTCTCTCTCTTTGTCTCTCTAAATTTAAGTTTTCTGCTTAGTAATATATTCTTGTTGTTATTGTTGTTTTAAAAAGGATATTAATTAGCCAATTCATCCACCAGCTGGACCACTGGCATAAACACGATGTGTGTTAGCAGGAAATCATCCAGGAATGGATCGACACCACTAATTTGGCCTCCCAAGCGGGTCTCTAATAAATGTTCCAACATTTTTGATGGTGTGCCCGACATGACAGTGTATCTGGAACGAAGTAGAAACAGAGAAAAAAAAAAAACAAAAATTAAATTTAAGCATTATTTAAGAACACACAATCCGCTGGAGAGCAGGAAGAATAAAGTGGGTAAGAAGGAGAAGAAGAAAATCCATCACTTTAAATTTAAACTACTGCCTGACACAGAGAAAAACAGACACCTAAGGCATGTCTGAACGCCATGAAATGACTGGGATTAGTTTTGTCGCAGAGTTAAGGAGCGGTATTTTACCGAGGTAAGAGCGCGGCATTGAATGTGATGTATATGGAATTATTTTCAAGGAAGGGAAAAGGGGGGAGGTAATTGTCTCCCTCAACTTACTTGAATGCTGAATGCTGTCCTCTTTGTTTTGCCACACGTTCCAATACTAAAACATCCTTGCCATGTTCCTGGAGTCTCAAAGTATTTGCCTCGACGTCACGTAGAATGCGATTAAAGTGCTCCTTATCCACGCGCAACAGATGGCAATTGTTCTCCTTTAAAACTATGGTAGCAGCTCTGGTGTGAGGGGAAGAGAGGGAGAGAAAAAATAAAACAAAAATGGATTATGAATTTGTTTAAAAAAAAAACAAACAATTTAATGCTACAACAATTTGTAATGAAATTTGTTGTTTGCCTTTAATTGCTTCAATTAAAATTTTATTTGATTTTCAGTTTCCTAACTACCAGCCCCCCGCTTGAATGGACCACCCTCCAATTTGCATGTTTCGGTACTCCGGCCATTACTCTGCCATCCAGCTGGCATATCTATTTTCATGTTGACCAGGATTTTGTTGTTCCTGCCATGTTTGCCGTGAATGCCGCGGGTGTTGGTGCTGCTCTGATGCTGTTCCACACTACTTACCCTGGTTGCTGATGCTGTGTTTTGGGCTATGGTTTTTCCTGCATGCAATGCAGTTTTGTTAATTGAAATTTAATCCTTGTTTGGTAACTTTACAAAGGACGGTATCGTGTGTTCTTTGGATGGGATTTTTTGCCCTGTGACATTGCCAAAAAAAAAAAAACAAGTAAGCAAAGGCTACAGTCGAGCGGGGCCGACCGTTGAATACCCTACAACACTATAATAAATGATACAGTTTATATAGGCGAGATACTCGAAAGAATTCCACAAGATATTGTGACAAATAACAAAAGAAAACCATCAGGTTTCGTTCTCTAATTTTCGAATAATAGCAACTTATACTAATTTGCTCATTTCCAATTTATTGGTAAATAGTCTTCCTAGATCTGGAACCAATATTTCCCAAAGACCTATAATATCTTAGAAGTGGCAAAAAATTAGCATTTATTATTGGTTTTTGACTGAAACGCATCTATATGAGATACAGACATTTGACTATATTCTTCAACGAAATAGTCAGAAGTGTGTCTTTCCTGTATTTGTGAATTCTCCAAAAAGTCACTGGTATGGACCTTTTCGTATTTTGTCTACAAAAGTTGGCAAACTATTTCACAAATTGAATATTTTTGGATGGCCATCCAAAACTGCTTGGCTTTTGCAATGTCCGGTAACCCCCATTCAAATGTGCGTGAGGATAGGGCGATAATTACGACCTGCTGACAATTTTGCATTTTTTTGGTCCATTTCAACCCCTAAATATATGGCGATCATCTCCAAAAAGAGTAGGCTTTTATTCTGACCCTCATCTTATACCCATGCAAAATTTCGTAAGGATCGGGCCATGAATGCGATCTGTATATGATATCCTGATATCCTAACTACTTAGTTTTGTTAGCTGTAGAAATATTACCAAATGTTTAATTCAAATGAAAATATGCCAAAAATATGACAAAATTGAAAAAATATGAGAAAACTTTAAAAAATCAATATTTTCATCTTTAGAGAGATATTTTTATGCAATTTTTTTAGACGTTTTTTCTTTCCTGTCAAGAGGCCATTCTGAATTAATGAGAACTGTCGAAATCAGTTCAGCCGTTCTCGACATATAAGAGATCTTTCAAGCATATCTTCTTTGATAGACATATATATTGCACATATTTCGCTATATATCCGATTTGTTGGATGTTAACATCAATGTAAAGGTCACAAGTAACCTTGTCATGGCTTTGTGATTTCGCCGGTATTTAAAATATTCGCGGTTTAATGAAAAATTTTGAATTTTTTCAACACAAAAGATATGGTATATTTTACCCGCTAAATATTATCCGATGACCACCCAAATTGGTAGGCTTCTTCCCCGCCCTAAACTCTAGCTACATGCGAAATTCCGCGTCGATTGGTCTATAATTGCGACCTGTATAGCTACTGCAAAATCCGACATTTTTTCAGTATTTGGTCCATTTCAACCCCTAAATATTATGCGATCATCTCCAAAAGAAATAGGGTTCTATTCTGACCCTAGCCCCACCTCCATTCTAAATTTCGTGAAGATCGGACCATAATTGCGACCTGTAGAGTGATTACAAATTAACATGGACAGACGGACAGACGGACAGACGGACAGACGGACGGACGGACATACATAGCTAGATCGACTCAGCTCGGCGAGCTAGGAAGATCCATATATACTTTCCTATATGGGAAACCAATATTTCGAGGTGTTACATAAATTCTGGCCCAATCAAACTTATAATACCCCCAACACATAGTGTTGTAGGGTATAAAAATACAACATGCTCGACATTTGTCAGGGTTCAGTTAAAAGAGTTACGATTAGGCAACACGAAAAGTGAGAGTGAAAAAAGGATATAATTGCGGACAGAGGACTATCTAAAAGATTGCCAAGTATATATATCCTCTCTATATAGGTAAACTATAGGCACAAAATCATCGACAAAGTATGCTTTGGCTAACCTAAAAAAGCTTTTCTATAAATAGATGACCTTCAACGTTAAACAATCCCTTCTGAAGTCTATAAAGAGGTTTTAAAGATGGCAATCTCTCTGAAGCTCTTTAATAGACAAAAGAGTTTTCGAAGCCGTTCTATAGATAATAGTGTTGTCGGGACATTTTTCTATAGATAGAGTAGTTTTTAAAGTTTTCTCATTGAGATATGAAATTCGAAAGTTTGTCTTTAACTAGAAGTCTTTCTAAAACTATTCTACAGATACAAGATCTTTCAAAGCTCTACTCTGTATCTATAAAGGTTATCCAGACGACTTTCTGCAGTTCGTCCAAAGACAGACGACTTTTGGAAGCTTTTCTACACAAAGAAGACCTTCGGAAGGTCTTGTAATCATAGAAAATCTTCGAATGTTCTTCTTTACATAGAAAACCTTCGAAAGCTTTTTTACATATATAAAACCATCATCTATGCATAGGAAACCATCTAATGCTCTTCTATACATAGAAGGCCATCGGAAGCTCTTCTAAAAATAGAAAAGCTTCAGAGAAGATCTTCTAGACATAGGACCTTAGGAAGCTCTTCTATACAGAAGACATTCTAAAGCTTTTCTATGGATAGTAGACCATCTAAAGCTCTTATATGGAAAGGAAGACCTTCTAAAGCTCTTCTATGAATCAAAGACGTTTTGAAGCTCTTCTATGAACCGACGACCTTTGATGCTATTCTATGGATAGAAGACCTTCTGAAGATCTTCTATGGATAGCAGACCTTCTGAAGCTCTTCTATGGATAGAAGACCTTTACCTTTACCTTTACATAGAAGACCTTCTATACATAGAAGACCTTCTATGGCTAGAAGACCTTCTGAAGCTCTTCTATGGCTAGAAGACCTTCTGAAGCTCTTATTTGGCTAGAAGACCTTCTGAAGCTCTTCTATACACAGAAGACCTTCTGAAGCTCTTCTATACACAGAAGCTCTTCTGAAGCTCTTCTATACACAGAAGCCCTTCTGAAGCTCTTCTATACATAAAAGACCTTCTGAAGCTCTTCTATACATATAATATCTGCTAAAGCTCTTCTATACATAGAATATCTGCTGAAGCTCTTCTATACACAGAAGACCTTCTGAAGCTCTTCTATGGCTAGAAGACCTTCTGAAGCTCTTCTATGGCTAGAAGACCTTCTTAAGCTCTTCTGTGGCTAGAAGACCTTCTGAAGCTCTTCTCTACATAGAAGACCTTCTGAAGCTCTTCTATACATAGAAGACCTTCTGAAGCTCTTCTATACATAGAAGACCTTCTTCTTCTGAAGCTCTTCCATGGTTAGAAGACCTTCTGAAGCTCTTCTATACATAGAAGACCTTCTGAAGCTCTTCTATACATAGAAGACCTTCTGAAGCTCTTCTATACATAGAAGACCTTCTGAAGCTCTTCTATACATAGAAGACCTTCTGAAGCTCTTCTATACATAGAAGACCTTCTGAAGCTCTTCTATACATAGAAGACCTTCTGAAGCTCTTCTATACATAGAAGACCTTCTGAAGCTCTTCTATACATAGAAGACCTTCTGAAGCTCTTCTATACACAGAAGCCCTTCTGAAGCTCTTCTATTCACAGAAGCCCTTCTGAAGCTCTTCTATACATAGAATATCTGCTAAAGCTCTTCTATACATAGAATATCTGCTGAAGCTCTTCTATACACAGAAGACCTTCTGAAGCTCTTCTATGGCTAGGAGACCTTCTTAAGCTCTTCTATGGCTAGAAGACCTTCTGAAGCTCTTCTATACATAGAAGACCTTCTGAAGTTCTTCTATACATAGAAGACCTTCTGAAGCTCTTCTATACATAAAAGACCTTCTGAAGCTCTTCTATACATAAAAGACCTTCTGAAGCTCTTCTGTACATAGAAGACCTTCTGAAGCTCTTTTATGGCTAGAAGACCTTCTGAAGCTCTTCTATGGATAGAAGACCTTCTGAAGAACTTCTATGAATATATAACCTTCTGAAGCTCTTCTATACATAGAAGATCTGCAGAAGATATTTTATGTATAAAAGACCTGCTGAAGCTCTTCTAAACATAGAAGATCTGCTGAAGTTATTTTATATATAGAAGACTTGCTGAAGTTCTTCTATACATAGAAGACCTGATGACGCTCTTCTATGGATAGACAACCCTTTGAAGCTTTTCAATGGATATAAAACTTTCTAAAGCTCTTCTATGTATAGAACACCTTCTGAAGCTCTCCTATGGATAGAAGATCTTCTGTTGCTCTTCTATGGATTGAAGACCTTCTAAAGCTTTTCTTAACATAGAAGACCTCCTGAAGCTCTTCAATACGTCTTCTATGTTTTTTTAATAGTTTCAGTAGGTCTTCTATGTTAAGAAGAGCTTCCGAAGGTCTCCCATCCTGAAGGTCCTCTGTGTAGATGTAAGACTTAGAATTCTTTATCGCTACACATTTCTCTTTACTTTTTTTAGAAACTATTGGTAACCATAGATTAGTGGAATTCAAAGAATTTGCTTTCATCTCCTGCATCCTGTATCACCGACGATTAACATGCAAAGCCAGCGAGCATTCCTTCGACCTTGACTTGTAAATAAGTACTTGTGTATTCATCATCCGCATACATGCTCGTCAGTTTGTAAAGCGAAGTCAAACAATTTATTAAAAATTCCATAAAATTTCATCATT